GTGAAAGCCACTTCCAGAAAAGTAATCAAATCTGTTTAGTGCTCATTTCTGTGTTATTTGATTTCAGGGGGTGGGGTGGGTGAATCCATTTGCAGCTCTCTTAACTCAGAAAATTGTGGGAGGAAAGCTATGAAATTTGGGGCGGTATATGAGCGTGCGGCTCTTTCTGCTGTTTTTATGGGGGAATCATAGGGGAACAGAATGATGCATTTGCAGAAAGGGTGGAGAAGCAACGTTGTCCAATGACATTCATTGTTGTGTTGTCATCATCATCATAATTTATTTATTTATACCCCGCCCATCTGGCTAGGTTTCCCCAGACACTCTGGGTGAGTCCCAACAGAATACAGTGGTACCTCGGGTTACATATGCTTCAGGTTACACACTCCACTAACCAAGAAATAGTGCTTCAGGTTAAGAACTTTGCTTCAAGATAAGAACAGAAATCGTGCTCCGGCGGCGTGGCAGCAGCAGGAAGGCCCCATTAGCTAAAGTGGTGCTTCAGGTTAAGAATAGTTTCAGGTTAAGAACGGACCTCCGGACCGAGTTAAGTACTTAACCTGAGGTACCACTGTATCAAAGACATGATAAAACATCAAACATTAAAAACTTCCCTAAACAGGGCTGCCTTCAGATGTCTTCTAAAAGTCAGATAGCTATTTATTTCCTTGACATCTGATGGGAGGGCCTTCCACAGGGTGGGTGCCACCACGGAGAAGGCCCTCTGCCTGGTTCCCTTGTAACCTCACTTCTTGCAGTGAAGCGAACTGCCAGAAGGCCCTTGGAGCTGGACCTCAGTGTCCGGGAAGAACAATGGGGGTGGAGACGCTCCTTCACACCTTGCCCACTGCTGTGAGTGAACCTACAAAGCCACAGAGCAGAGCTGGTGAAGGTGTGGCAACCCAAGGGCCATGGAGAGAGGTCTGGAGGCCCGCATTCAGCCCAAGGCCTTGAAGTCCCTCACCCCTGGAATATTCAAATGGCCCAATTCATTCTCCGGAATGAACACAAGGCTTCTTTCCAATCCTTAAGAGACAACATGCAAACCTGCCTAGATTTGCAGCTCCACATTCAGCGCCAAGCGGGACGCAGGTGGAGCTGTGGGTTAAACCACAGAGCCTAGGACTTGCCGATCAGAAGGTCGGCGGTTCAAATCCCCGCAATGGGGTGAGCTCCTGTTGCTCAGTCCCTGCTCCTGCCAACCTAGCAGTCCGAAAGCACGTCAAAGTGCAAGTAGATAAATAGGTACCGCTCTGGCGGGAAGGTAAACGGGGTTTCCGTGCGCTGCTCTGGTTCGCCAGAAGCGGCTTAGTCATGCTGGCCACATGACCCGGAAGCTGTATGCAGGCTTCCTCGGCCAATAAAGAGAGATGAGCGCCGCAACCCCAGAGTCGGTCAGGACTGGACCTAATGGTCAGGGGTCTCTTTACCTTTACCTTTATTCAGCGCCAAGCACGTGTATTTGAAAGCAACGTGTTATTCCTCACACTAGACCTTCACATCAAACTCAAGAAACCAAAGACCTCTGCGGTTGCAACAACCCCCCAAAGCCCCACGTTAACAGAAGAGGAAATTCCGCTGAACATCCCTTTTGTGTCTTGGGCTGGGGGTGGGTGGTCTTCCGAAAAGAAAGCCAAAGATTGCTTGCCGCACAAGGGAAATTCTTTGCTTAGACCATAACCTCTGAGGTTCCCTGTTGACAGGAGGGCAGGGAAAGAAACACCGCAGCGTAGATTAAGCCAACCTATTAATGATCAGCTTAATATTTCTGCAGCATCCGGGGGAATCTAGTTTCCATTCCCATAAACCTTTTCGCCCTGCCACATCTAATAAGGTCTTGCACTGTGGTGATAAGGGAAGGAGGGGGGAATGTTAATAAAATAAATAAATAAATAAATGGCCGCGCCTGGATCCTACTCAAAAGGCCCCGTCTCTCTTCCGGGACCAATGATCATTTCAGTAACGAGGCACCTCACACCACTTTTCATTACTTTCTGCATTTAGAAAGTGGCTCTCCGGGGAACAGCAGAGTGCAATGCAGAGACCGCAAGCCCAAGGAATGGAAATGAAGGAAACATTCTGGAGGTCCGCATTCATCAGCGGCAATGGGTCTGAAGAGCACTCCAGCACTCTGCAAGGCGCAACACAGCTCCTTTTATTAGCTTTGAACGAACTTATTCGCCCTCGCCGTAAAAACCGAACGATTTCAAAGCATGGCCAGAAACAACAGCAACAACTGACAACACTTTGCCTTTTTATGGACTTTTGCTTTATGGCGAAAGCTTCCCAGGCCCCGGAAAAGCTAAAAACCTAATTCTCCCAGATCTCACCAGCTGCTTGGAGAAATCTTGCTCACCTGTGGACATTCCCAACAAGGCACCATCTCCCAGGGCTGGCTCTACTGTTAACCCACCCATTCAAACAAACTGCCAATGGATGCAAGAAGCAGCTGGCTTGCCGGCGAATGATGCTGTTCTATTTATGTGCTGTGGCAAGAAATAGCTGCTGCATAAATCATCGCGAGGTACCAGCAAGCCTCCGAGCTGTCTCCGGGCTAACATTTCTTTGCCTTGGAGTGATGCGCCCATGATATCATGGATGCACAAACTCTAAATCTCAAAAAAGACTTGCTGTGTTAGCAACTTCTCCGTTTGACCTGCAGTGACACGATGCCCCAAATAGGACACTTTGTTGTTGCTGTTGATGTTGTTTCCCCCACCACCACCACCAAATTTATTGCTTTTCAACATTTATCACAAACATAACATAAAATACACAACAACAACAAAAACTCCACACTACAATAAACTAAACACACAAGAAGAAAAGAACAGCTCTTCAAATATCCAACTTTCATCTCATTGATGACTGACTTCCTTGAAACGCCTCTAACTGAATTTCATTATATCACCTTTATAACAGTTCTCCAAGTTCATATTTCTAATAATATTAACTTCTTTCATTTACTGGTAGTTGTTGTTCTCTTTGACATCTAGTGGGAGGGCGTTCCACAGGGCGGGTGCCACTACTGAGAAGGCCCCTCTGCCTGTTTCCCTGTAACTTGAATAATAATAGTTCACCTTGAGCTCCTTGGAGGGAAGAAATTGGGATATAAATGCAGTAACCAATTAAATAAAATACCCTTAGCTAGCCACTGAAGTCCACTCTGTTCTGCTCTGCCCCACTGCACGAGCAGCTCCTGACACATCATTCATAAAAACTGGCCTAAGCTAAAAACGGCACATATGGAGAGAAAGGAGTTCAAAAACGCAGGCAAATGTTTTGCACACATTCCGTCTGGGCTTCTCTGGAAGGCAGGGCTAGAAATCTAATAATGTACTGCTCTTATTTGTAAAAGTACAGGCATCCCACCACCCTCACACATGACTGCATACACGGGCAGCGCCGGGAAATAAGCAAATAATTTCATTCAAACCCGGAAATGGCGGGAGAGAGCTGGAGAGTCCCTGTGACTTGTGAGGAGACCCAAAGAGGACATCATTGAGGGCAGAGGAAGCCCCTAAGAGACCGGAGGTGCAGTGGCGCTTTGTTTCAGCTGCTCAGCCTCCTCAGGTAACAGCTGATGCACAGACAAGTGCAGCCACGTCCTCCATTTTGATTGGGGATAGATATTTTGATCTGGATTGGGGATAGAGTAGGAGAGAGAGAGATGGAGAGAAAGGGTGGGTGGAGACTTTTCAGAGCATGCTCCTCACTTTACGTGATTTCAATTATGTGCGCGAGAGCCCGGAATGTTACCTCCTATAAGTGGGGGGTGGAGACGACGCTTCTATTTATCTAAAATTATCAGGGCAGTGCAGGGCAATGTCCACACAATAAAAGACGTTTAAAAGCCTTCCGAAACAATGACTGGCCAATCAAGGAAGTCTGAAACAGCTGCAAAGACCTGCCAGGCCTTTAGGATCCAGGAGTATCAAAGAATGGGACAAATTTACATTATTATTGAAAGACCACTGTAAACATTTGAACTCTTTGGCAGGTTTTAAATAACTCTTGCAATGTTACACAGACTTTGGATACAATGGAGGATTGGAAATTGGATGGACTTATAATACGTAGTTTAAAAAGTTACTTAAAGAACCCACGGAGGGGAGGAGGGAAGTCTTGAGATTCGCGTGACCTTAGTGATCAAGATGGGGTATCAAGGCTCAGGCAGCTGCTACAGGGAAACCTGGATCCAGGGCGTTCAGGACTCCGTATTATCAACCATAGCTGTCAACCGTCCCTTATTTGGCGGGAAACTCCCTTATCCCAGCGCCGTGTCCCGCTGCTGTCCCGGATTGATGATATCCCTTAAATTTCCCGGGTTTCATGGTCGCCCAGCTTGGGAGGCAAGCAGCGGCTTGGGGTCATCCGCCGCGAGAGAGTGCGCGCACACGAGCTGCCACGTCTCCGTCTCTCCCTTTCCCCCCTGAGGGGCGCATTGTGAGGAGACGGGTGACGGCGGGCGGGCAGGCAGCCCCTTTCTTGCGAGACTTCTGCTGCACTGCCAGGGGAAGCCGGAGGCGGCTGAGGAGGCGGCCTGAGGGAGGAGGAAGAGGAGGGGATGGGGAAGAACGCAGAAGGGCGATGCTTCAGTGGCCACCGCGGTGGCGCAACCGCCTCATGCTGGGCTCGCGGATGAGAGTCTCTCTTCCTCCCTCCCTCTCTCTCGGGCGGGGAAGGGCCAATGGAACTCCTCACGCCAGGACAACGGCAGCCCCGACGTGAATAAGCGAAGCAAAATCCCTTATTTTGGCTGCTGATCCCTTATTTTCAAATCTGTAAGTTGACAGCTATGATTATCAACACAACATTTCTGAACACGTAGAATGGAAAACTTGAGGTGTAACAGGAGCCAAGACTTTTTTAAATGTTTCGTTACCAACTCCTTTTGCTCCTATGCAGATTTTGGGCAAAATGTGAAACTCTAACCATTCCCCCCTTCCTGCTTTCTTCACCCCACGCCAATTGCCACAATCGCCCCGCACCAATCTCACCTCAGACATCCTGACGTGTTCTTGAAGACGGTTGTCCACTCGGCGTCTCGAGGCTTCGAGTCTTCGTTTGGCTCGTTCTCCCAACCGGAATGGGGGATGATCACTTCGTTGGTCAGGGTCTGTAGACCGTGGTTAATGATCACCATTTTGAGGGGCTCGTAGGAGGACAGGTTCCAGAGGGTGCCTTGAAGAAGAGAAAATGGCAGCAGAGAGTCATGGGAACCTGTGTTGCTAAGTGGCTGTGGAGAATATTGTTCAAGTGCAATCTGGTTCAAGCATTACAGCGAAACCAAAACTGTGTTTCAACTGACTATGGTTTGTAACAGCAAACCATGGTTTCTTGGGACTGCTGCCTTTCTGATCTTTTAACCATTGGTTTGCGGCCGTCTTACCTGTGCCAACAGCACTGCATAAATCTGAGTATCCAGGCAGGTGTTCAGTAGCGCTGGCAGATACCTGGCTTTCAACATTGCAATACACTAGCTAAACATCGCAATATAATGATATACAGTGGTACCTTGGTTCTCAAACGCCTTGGTACTCAAACAACTTGGAACCTAAACACTGCAAACCTGGAAGTAAGTGTTTCGGTTTGCGAACTTTTCTCGGAAGCCAAATGTGCTCCATTTTGAGTTTTACGCTTCCATTTTGAGTGTTATGCTGAGGTCTGTCTGTTTCTGCTATTTTGTGTTTTTGTTTTTGCGGCTCTTTTTTGTGAGTGTGAGGAACCTGTTTCACCTACTGATTGATTGATTGATTGATTGATTGATTGATTGATTGTGTGACTGCAGTACATTGTTTAGTGTTTTCATTTTATGGACAATGATCTTGTTAGTCATGTTAAATTGCTGTTTTAGGGGTTGTTTTAAAAAGTCTGGAACAGATTGATCCATTTTGCATTATTTTCTATGGGAAAGCACACCTCAGTTTTGGAATGCTTTGGTTTTGGAACGGACTTCCGGAACGGATTAAATTTGAGAACCAAGGGACCACTGTATCACAATGTCTAAAATAAGGATGTAGAGTCATTGGCTAACTGACTTCACAGTTTTCCCCACATTGTGATTTTTGCATAGCACACACACACACACACATCGTGATTAGTGATATATTGCCAGGTCAAAAATGATGAAACCGATACCACAACATGAACTTCAAACCAGTTTTGCACAATATATTGATATATCGCCCAGCCCTAGCGTTCAGCCCCTTGAGCAGAGGTGGAGAACCTTTTTCATACTGAAGGCTGCATTCCATTCTGGGCAATCGTGACAGTGTAGTAGTTTGGATTTGATATCCCACTTTATCACTACCCTAAGGAATCTGAAAGCGGCTAACATTCTCTTTTCCCTTCCTCCTCCACAACAAACACTCTGTGAGGTGAGTGGGGCTGAGAGACTTCAGAGAAGTGTGACTAGCCGAAGGTCACCCAGCAGCTGCCTGTGGAGGAGCGGGGAATCAAACCCGGTTCACCAGATTACGAGTCCACTGCTCTTAACCACCACACCACACTGACTCGTAAATAGTTACGAAAGAGACAAGTATGGCATTGTTTTATGGTCACTGGCAGTTAGTATCACAGCCCAGATTTCCAGCTTCTCCCTTTGAACCAGAGATGTGGAACCTCTGGGCCCTCCAGATGCTGTTGGACTCCAGCTCCCATCATCCCTGACCGCTAGGTGAAGCTGATGGGAATTGGAGTCTATCAGGTATCCTGTCTCCACTCTAAAGCGCAGAAGGAGCTATGAATGGATTATTAGTATTATGGCAGGGCCAAGAGCAAAAGTAGGCAGAGCAACACATGTAAACGTTGCCTTTATAAAATAGGCTAGCTTCTGCACACAATCCTCTCTGTCCTCTATCTGGGCAACTAAGAGGCATTTTTGGAGTGCAAGGACAATTTCCAGGCAGGCCAAAGCAACAGCAACCCGCTCCAGGAGGGCTACAAAGCAGTGTTGGTGAGCAGTGTGGCCTGGGGGAATTCCCAAGGGCCACACAGAAAGGCATAGAGGGCTGTATTTGGCCCCTGAGCCCAGATTCCCTACCCATGCTCTTAAGCAGGGATGTACGTAAGAGCTGGCAACGTTAATTCACAAAACAATGAAAACAAATCTACAGTAAACTGAAGTCTGGGTTGAAGGTGCTTAGAACTACAGTCATACCTCACGTTACGTTTGCTTCAGGTTGCGCGTTTTCAAGTTGTGTCCCAATGTGACCCGGAAGTAACAGAATGGGTTACTTCCGGCTTTCTCCGCTCGCGCATGCGCAGACGCGCAAAATGACATCACGCGCATGCGCAGAAGCAGCGAGTTGCGACCCGTGCACGCGCAGACGTGGGTTGCGTTCTTTTCAGGTTGCGAACGGGCCTCCGGAACGGACCCCATTCACAACCAGAGGTACCACTGTAGTGAGTTCTGAAATTCATCCTCACCCCTCTCATTCCCTCTCCCCTCGCCCTCTTCCAAATGTTATGGGGAAGGGCCATTTCTTAATGGTGCAACATCTAAGAAGATCACAGGTTCAAGTTCTGGCACTTCCAGGTAAGGCAGGGAGAGACATCGGAGGGCTGCTGCCAATCAGTGTAGACAATACTGAACTAGATAGGCCACAATGGACTGACTTGGGATAAGGCAGCTTCTGATGTTCCCTTCTTCGGTTTTTGATGACCTTCCTGTTTATTTGCATCTCATTCCGCGACTGGGATGCTCAATCTGCATGTGTGATTTATCCCAGCCATATAAGGCAATAAATTTGAATGCATAGGTCTGTAAATCTGTGTTTATTCTTGCTGTTTATAAGCAAAGAAATGCCCATCAGTTTTCTCTAAGCTTATAGGGGGACTGAAAGGTGTAAATATCAAGAAGCTGTAATGCACATCAACTTTGGGTAGGCCAGTCTCTGTCCTGTTCTTTTTTAGGACAGATAATAAATTTCTTGTCAAGCTCCCTGACTTGTTTGCCTTCTGCAGGTCTGAGCCAGGGGTGGTTCTCCAGAGGTTGCTCGATTCCAACTCCCATCCGCCCCAGCCAGTGTGGCCAGGAGTCTGATGTGATGGGAGTTGTAGTTCAACAACTTCTGGAGAGGGCTACAGGTTAGCCACCCCAGTCTAAGCCACCAATGGCAACTGGCTTGTGTTTTCATAGGATTGTTTCATGTTGTTTTACCTTATTTATTGCTCGCCACCTTAGGCATCATTGTGTGGAAAGACTGGAAGAACCCAGTGCCGAGGGCCTTCTGGCGGTTCCCTCACTGCGAGAAGCCAAGTTACAGGGAACCAGGCAGAGGGCCTTCTTGGTAGTGGCGCCCTCCTTGTGGAACACCCTCCCACCAGATGTCAAAGAGAAAAACAACTACCAGACTTTTAGAAGGCATCTGAAGGCAGTCCCGTTTAGGGAAGCTTTTAATGTTTAATAGACTATTGTATTTTAATATTCTGTTGGAAGCCGCCCAGAGTGGCTGGGGAAACCCAGCCAGATAGGCGGGGTATAAATAATAAATTATTATTATTATTATTATTATTATTATTATTATTATTATTATATCAGGATGAGGAACCTCCAGCATGTGGGCCAACTTTGTCTTGACATGAGTCCCAGTTTGGTCCATGAGGCTGTTTTCCCTGAACCGCCCCCACCTGCCCCAGACCTGACATTGTATATGATCAGGTGTGGATCAGGAAGACACACAGCTGGATTGGCCATGCGCAGAACTTGATTGCCCAGCAATCCCTGCACAAACCAGACTTGAAGTCACACCGGCTGCATCAGCTGCTTGGCCAGGTTCTCCATGGGGAACTTGACCCTCAGCCAAACTTTGCTTGGGTTAGGTGGGAGTCGGGGGCGTGCGGTGTGCCAAATGTCACTCCCCTCGGTGATGACACCCAGGGCAACCCACCCCCCACTTGCTCCGCCCCTGCCAAAACCTGCAGTACAAGGTATGGGCTCCACCTCAACCTCCATAGCTAATGGAAGTTGGTTCTGGTTCTGGTTCACCCACACCAGCAACTCAGCCTCCAGAGTTGTTACAACCCATGTTCAGTCCTGTTTCTCTCTCTGTGTGTGTGTGTGTGTGTGTGCGCGCGTTTGTGTGTCATTGTTTCATCACCATCTTTATTTGCGTTGCCATGTGTACAGTCATACCTCAGGTTACAGACGCTTCAGGTTGTGTTTTTTCGGGTTACGGACCGCAGAAACCCGGAAGTACTTCCGGGTTTCGGTGGTCGCGCATGTGCAGAAGCGCTAAATTGAGCTTTGCACATGCGCAGAAGCGGCGAATTGCAACCCGCGTGTGCGCAGATGCGCCGCTGCGGGTTGCAAATGCGCTGGTTGTGAACGTGCATTCTGCATGGATCACGTTCGCAACCCAAGCGTAGACCAACACTTTGCCTCTGAAGAGTGTTTTGCCTGTGCATAACATTGATCTGAGTATTAAAGTTCGAGTTCTTCATTCCAGGACATCAACGGTGCTTCAGAGCACAGCTCAGGGCAATTCACTAGCCCTATGTGGTGCTTTGAAGGCGATCATCACCTGACGTCATTGCGGCATCAGGTGACTGAAAGTTGGCCCCACCCACCTGTCACCTTTGACTCATGAGTGGCAGAGAAGAAAGGATCTGGCCCACTGGCCAGAACTGGCTCCCAACCCCTTATTAAATACATAAATAAATACACGCCTAATCTACATTTCTCGTTGCAGATCCTGGGCTATACTTTGCTCCCAAGATCTCCATTTAATTCTTTGCTGTTGCTTGGAATCGAGATTGCAAATGTAAACGCTTTAAACGCACTGCCTCCAGTGAGATTGGAGTAGGGAGGGAAAGCAAGAGAATTAGATGCTTGCGAGAGTCACACTCTCTCAGGCTTGGTTCCACCCCAGTAAAACAGCACAATAATAATAATCTACTTCCCAGAGTTACTGTCAGGATGGAGGAGGGAGAGACGACAAAGTAATAATGCCACCCCTCCCCCAAAATTGCTATATAAATGCTAAGCAAGACCCAAGAGCATCCCAAGTGAAAGCTCTCCGTTTTGAAATCCCTCTTTTCTTTACTTAGCATGCTGCAGGAACACCCAGACCCTGCAAAAAAAGAGAGCAAGCTCTCAGCAGAATTATGTACCTGAGACCTAAATGGCCAACTGGAAATTTAATCGGAGATGCCAGCTTAAAATTTCCTAGGGGCAGGCC